TGCTGGGCATGGTCAACTCAGAAGCCAGCCGGAACTCCGTTGCTGTGCGTTCCTGCCCAAAAATAGCCCTGCTTGCCAGTCACAGCTACTGGCAAAACGTCAGGTCCTACAGTGCCAAGACCACGGCCACACAACCCGGAAAATCTACAACAGCTAATGAACTCCGGCCGTGAAAGCCTTTAACAACGTAATGATATTTTTGTTTGTTTGTTTCTCTTCACCTGCAGTGCTGGGAAGCCACTGCCAGCTTTACCTTGTGGTTCTGAATCCTCTCTTCTTCCTCCCTTTTAAACATCAGAAGTCTGGTCAGGTTGGCCTCCAGCTGAGACACGGCTGAAGAGAGCTCCTCCTACTCGAAAAAACAGCAGACGTTATGTTGGTACACTTAAGGGATCGGTTGCCTCTGTTTCTCCATCTGCTCTTCTTCCCACAGCAAAAGGCGGCTCCTCCCAACAACCCAGCACAGAAATACATCAACACATCAGCCAGGAATGCTTCACGTGCTTGTAATGAACTTGGCTGAATATGAATTTCCCCGCTTTTATGTGAGAGTGGGGCTTAAGAAACAAGCGGAATATTCCCTGCTGATTTCTGCCTTTGAAATGTTATACGGTCCAGGGCTCTTTTTGTAGAGAAAGCCCAGCAGGAACTCATTAGCATAATAGACCACACACAACAGCAGAAATCTATTAGTATATTAGGCCACACCCCTGACAGAGCAGCTCATTAGCCTATTAGGCCACACCCCCACATTACCAGAAGTGTGGTCATCCAGCCACACACACCTTTTGCTTCTTATTCTGTTTACCTTGTTTGTTGTCAAAACCCAGGGCTTTTTTGTAGCAGGAACTTCTTTGCATGTTTGGCCACACACCCCTAATGTAGCCAATCCTAATGAGTTTCTGCTGTTGGGTGTGGCCTATTATGCTAATGAGTTCCTGCTGGGCGTGGCCAACTTGGGAGCCAGCCGGAACTCCGTTCCTGTGCGTTCCTGCCCAAAAATAGCCCTGGTTACACCCTTCAGAGCTTTGAGGAGAGTCAGAAAGCTAAAAAGAGTTTTTGTAACTTGAGGTTGGAGGG